TCTTTCCCTTGATACATTTTCCACTTGGTCATATTCCCACCAAGAAATTACATAGCCTTTAAATCGTTTATCAACTAAGAAGAGTTGTTTTGAAGTCTCTATAATCTACATTCTTGAATTACTCATCTATTTTGTTAATCCAATCTAACAACTCTTCCGACTCACGAAAGCCATCAAGAGTAGGAATCTTCAATTGGCAATAATTTAGAAGAGATTTTCCTTTTAAAGGTCTTATGTTTAGTATATAGAGCAAATTATACGTTTCTGTATTCTGTGCCGTTAATTGTTCAATAATTTTTTTTTATTTGTTTCATACGTCGATTGTATTAGTTATTTCTATGGGATTGGTCGTAAAAGTTCTAATAGTAAATAAAATTGATCCAAGACTAATATGTCTTTAATTATGGATATGAAGTGATATAACCGAGAAAATTTAATTGTAAGATTATAGCACAAAAATAAAGTTTACAATCAGTAAAACAAAGTCAAACGATTTGTTTTTGATAAAATTGTAATGTCTGTAACTCTTTTATAAGAGTCAATGATATTCTTGTATTCCAGACTCTAGATATTTCAGTCACTTCGTAAAAATACTTACTAAATAATTTTTTATTTATAAAATACCATAATACAATTATCCAGGGTAAAATAATAACTGCTGGAAGTTTTGAAAACACAATAATCAATAAGGTTATAAATAGAAATATGATCTTAATTCGATTGTGGATATTCTATTAGGATTCACATTCAACGATATATCAATGGGCCAAAGTTATTTAGAGAGCGTTTTGTGCATGTAATCTCTCCACTTAGCTTGATTGATTTCAAGATAATTAAATAGTTTTTCTAGTAGGTGTTAATTATTAATTCAAAGATGAATTTCAAAGAATGTGATAAATTATTAGTTTAAGAATTATCCTGGTAAAATTAGTAATTTATGTAAGATTGTGACAATTATCAACTAAATTTGATAGTTATTATTGTAACAAGACAGGATGAGAATTATTAAATTTAAAGTATTGCTGAATAATTACTAGCAAAAAATAATTATTCATAAAATTACCAGAATGTGATCATTTATTATTATATATATATTTTTAAAAAAAATTGTTTCTATCTCTAGTGCTACGCACGCATACATCCTAACTCTAGTACTCTGAGTTTGACAATAAATCAAGAGGTATAGAATGCCTTTAGACTGCTTTGTGCATTTAAGAAAAAAAAAAAAACAACCTTTTTATTTTATTACAATAATTTCTCTTATAAAAATTTAAATTTAAATTTGTTTATTTTAGTGTTTTTTCCTACATAAATTCATTTTTTAAACTCAAATTCACTAACTCAAGTTGTGAAAAGAACGATTAGAAACTCCTTTTCTTTGATTTCTAGCGCTACTAGTTGGATTTTAGTGTGCCTATACATACTCTAATTCGCAGAAAGAGATATAACAAAGAACAATTGGTGATGGAAGCTCAAGAAATTTTAGAATGCCTATAGGAATCTATTTATATATATATATATATGACCAAAAATCACTAAGAAATTAGAGATGCTCTTGCGCAACTTATTATTATTCCAATTAAGAATATGTAGATAGTAATAAAACAAAACATAAATTTGCTATGAGGAGGCGGTGCATCCCAAGTCGCAGAATAGCCCTCTAGACGTTGATTCTTCAAGTCGAGCTATTGTCACCATGCAGATTGTAATGACCGAAATCGATCTACTTATCAATCGGTTTTACCTAGAGATGCAACAATAGGCCGGGGTTCGTGGGCCAGCTTAAGCCCATTTTGATACAATGACGGGCTGGGCCGATACGGTCCATCACTATTCAAGGCACGGTCCAGCCCAACCCATAAATATTAGTGGGTTGAGTTGCGTCAATATATATCAGTCAATGGGCCGGCCTGACACGGCCCATGAAAAATCATAGACCAGGTTGGGCTGGGCCGATCCGTCTAAGCTCATAATATCTTCATGTTTTTTTCTTTTTTTTAGTAATTTTATAAACATCTTATGTATAATTATCCTGATTGTATTCTTTTTTTCTTATCAAAGTTTTTGTCATATTGGGTTTTCCTTAGAAATATTTTTATTTAATGAGGCAATCGTAAATAAAATAATCTTTTTCATATTTCCATTAACTATTCAAACTTTTATATTTATTAGCTTGTTTAAAAATTCAAAAATAAAAAATAATAATAAAAGAAATGAAAATTGTATGTTTAGATGGACTGACTCATCTAAACCCATGATGGCCATTGAATGAGCTAGCTCATTCAAAGTTCATGACACGGTCAATTTTAATCCACGGCACGACCCAACCTGACCCACATAAAATTAACCCGTAGTGTGGACTGAACCGAGATAATTCTTATATGAGCTGACCCAGCCCGATCTACAAAATTTATGAGCTGAGCCAGCCCGACTCACAGCGCGCGTGGGCCTAAAGAGAACGGGCCAGCCGTTATTGAATCTCTAATTTTACCAGTTTCCTTTTCAAAATCAATCACTAGTCAATTTTTCATATTATAAAATTGACTAGTTAAGAGTGACCGAACTGCAAAAATAGTTAAACTACAATCTGCATTGCCCAAAGGTAGATCTATATTTTTCGGCAAGATCTCATGGAAATGACTTTTTTCTTTTGGTTGAAATTTCATAGAAATGACTTAAAAAGTATTGACAGATTTCTTGCTTTTCATTGAACTTATCAACGTATTGTTTTTTGTTTTGTTTTTGAAAAAAAATTGAAAAGAAAGAAAAACTAGTACGTAATATGTAATCACCGCTTCTTGGGAATTGTGATATTATAAATAGGTAAAACCTGAAATCATTCTCTTTTTTTTTTTTTTTTGGCTAGAACCTGAAATCATTCTTGTATGTACGTAGTGAAGTCTATTTTCATTGTCTGTGCCTTTTATCCGTTTTCGCTTTTCTTTTCTTTCATTTTTTCTCCTTAGTGCACTTTCTCATCGTATTTTATCCCTTTCTCTCTTTTCTGCCAATTTCTATGAGAAAGTGGTGCAAAACATTACTTTCTTCTCTTTCTTTTTGCTCTCTCTGTTTTTTTTTTTTTTTTTTTTTCTTCGCAAGGCTACTTTCTCTTGAATCCTTGGTATAATTTTATACTTGAGAAACCAAATTATCATCATGGCAAAACCATTTTTTTTTTTTGTCGGAAAATTAAAAAAAAGTTATACAAAACAACCACGTACCTTAAGCTCCAGAGGGTGGCTTAACAGCTGGTGTGATCAGTCTGTAATAGAAAAAGAAAACGGCCTTGCATGGCGTATATGTTGCACTTGTGCAGTTGCTAAAGTCAGCTTTTTTGCATTTGCTTGTGTAATTCCCATTTAAATAATAATTATGCAGAAGCCTTGATTACATGAATCACGCAGCACTAAATTTTGAAGGAAGCAAGCTTACTATATCATGCGTTTGTGTCACTGAATATTTGTTTATTATAAAATTCTGCCTCAGTGAATATTAATTTGCAGATATATCTGAAGATATTGCAAATGAAGATATTGCCAATTCAATCCACTGTTATTACTAGCTTCTCCGTCCTAAATCCTAATTAGAATTGCTTGTCAATATTCGAGTTGAAAACCATCTTACTTCCTACAACTGCTACGCGCTTGATTCAGATTTTCGAACTTGCTACATACACACACACACAAAAAAAAAAAAAAAAAAAAAACAAAGGATTAATGCAATGAAGAACTTTCGACGCTGGTCTAGTGAAATTAAAAATATCAACCAAAAAAAAAAAAAAAATCACGAGATTTCAAACACACACACAAAAGGGTACAACTATAACGGTTAGGAGGTTCAAAATTCCAGTTTAAAATTGTAATCTTAGACATCGATTTATTATGCAAGTCAATCTTGACCGTTTACAGTCGTTTAAATTATACGGCTTCTCTCTCCCTGTTTATAGATGCTAAGAAATCAACATGGGAATCACGATTAATTAAAGGAAAAAGGAGTCAAATATCTTTTGGAGTGCATAAATTTGAATTTTTATTTTTAATATTATTTTTTAATCAAATAACTATATTAGTAAAAAGATATTAATCAAGAATAAATGAGTAAAATTCCATACTTATATGTATTCTGAGAGTAAGTTTAATAATTTTCTCCTAATTAAATTATAATATTAGTCATCAAAGCTATTTTAGACGTAAGACGTAACTTCTTTTTTATTTTCATTATTAATTTTTCTTAATATGATCCCAGTACTCCGCACGGTTAAGTTGATAATAATGGACAAAGGACTGCTTACTGCTAATGCTACATGAAAACAATAATAACGAATCCACTCTAATTAGTCAATATTCACTACACTAAAGAACAGGAAATCTAGCTAAAAATTAGAAAATTGTATAGAGCAATTTTGTTTATATATTTTGTGATTATTTGGTATTTTATTTATTGCATGCTACCTACGTAACGTATACTTTGACCAACATCAAAATTAAACATAATGTTACTCTCCGATCATTCATATTTTCTTTTCTTTTTGAAAGAACTACGATCGTTTTTACGATATATAAATAATATGTACATATTTAGTGTGACAGCCATCAATTCTTTGAGGCACAAGATCAAGAAAGGGTAAGTTGTGCAGTTCCACATCGTCTGGAGATGAAGATGGGTCCTAGTTTATAAGGAATGATACCACTTCCCAATAGTATGAGGCCTTTTAGAGTGAAGCCTAAAAGCAAAACCGTGCGAACTTATGCCCAAAGCGGACAATATCATACTAGGTGGGGGTGCGAGTCGTTACATATGCTATCAGAGACTCTACCCAGCCAAAAATGTGGCCAACGAGGACGTTAGGCCCCCGTGAGGAGGGGTGAATGTGACAACCATCAATTCCTTGAGCCACAAGGCCAAGAAAGGGTAAGTTGTGCAGTCTCACGTCTGGGGATGAAGATGGGTCCTGGTTTATAAGGAATGATACCACCTCTCAATAGTATAAGGCCTTTTAGGGTGAAGCCTAAAATCAAAACTGTGCGGGCTCAGACCCAAAGTGGACAATATTATACTAAGTGGGGGTGCGGGTCGTTACATATAATTGACATACTATATGACATAATATTAAGGAAAAAAAAAATTAGCCTTTTATGTACCATGACATTGGGTGAATCTATTTTGCTAATAAATGGGTCGGTATGCAGTCATTATGGGATACTCATAACAATTTTATTTTTCCCTTTCTGATAGGCGCCTCATGAGTCATGACATGTTAAAGTCACATGATGTATGTCACAATATAATGTGTATATGCAACATTATAACATCATAAATATTCATTTCTTTTCCATACATATACGGTTACTAAATCAAGGTTTGGTGTTCAATGATCTGTTTAAATATGTTTATTTTTTTAATAAAGTCAGATTCTAAGAAATTTAGTGGACGATTGATTAATCATTCTCAATTTATGTATATTTTTTGTGAGAGAAAACAATTTATATATATTTCTTGTGAAAGAAAACACTATAGCAAATCATGAACTATAATTCGAACTATCCTCATATCAAACAGTACCCCATTAGATGATAACATGTATAATGACATGTGTAATTTTTATAGTGTTTTATTCTTATTTATAGTGTTTTATTCTTATTTATAATGTTTTATTCTTATTTATGTGGTCAGATAGATTTTTAAAAATTTAGATGACATAATGAAATCAGTTAAATTAGCACTTAGATGACATAATAAAATTAGTGTCTAAATAATGAAATTAGTTGAGAGACATTCACCGAGCGGCCACCGAGATAAGTAAATAGTAAATATGATAGGTGAATGGGGATAGCAAAGTATTTATATACATAATGCAGATGAAGAATATGGCTCGTCCAACCGAGTTGATCGAAGATCATGTCGTCAAAAGAACATATATATACTCAGGGTGATGAATAAAGCATTCGTTTGTCGATCGTTCTCCCCATTATCTACTTCTCTTAGAATAATAATTTACAAATTCTCTCGACTGCTACTACAAAACCATCTTCACCCAAAAACGTAAGAAAACAAAACGGAAAAAGAATACAATACCGAGTTATTGTAACTTCAGAGTGAGTACTCCACATGTATAACACAAGTACAACGAGAAACATCATCCAAAGCTAATTTCACGAATATATCTCTAATCTCCCTTTCCCAACATACATTCCTCTCTATTT